GGACCCCGGGAGCATGCTTCAAGCCCTAGAAGAGTAAGGGTCCTCAGTTGTGTCTGTTCTGGGGAGGTGATGTTGGGGCAGCGGGCATGGAGTGTTTTTTTGGGGTTCACTTGGTCATCCACTCATCACTTGGTGGTCAGAATGGAAGTGTTGCTAGGCACTGAACACTATTGGTCCAGCTGGATGCAGGAGAAGGAGGCACTTCTGGAGCCTGGGAGTGCTCCCTGGAGGTAGTGACATCATCACTTGTGTTTGATGCTGGAGGAGAAGCTGCTAAGTGGAATGAGAAGGAATACTCCAGGCAGAAGGAAGAAAGGGAGACCTAAGGATGGGAATGAGCAAGGGGTATTGCAAAATTTTAACAGGAGAACATGCTGGGTGTTTGTTTACTGAATACAGAAGACAGAGAGGAAATGGCTGTTTTTGAAAAAGAGCCCAGATGCCCACCTTGGGTTTGCTTGGTGGAACTCTTTTTTTTTTTTTTTTTTTTTTTTTTTTTTGTTAATAAAGACCTACACTGGGCTGTCTTCATCCTGCCAAATCCTCCACGAAAAGGGTACAAATGAAATCCCAGTTATCAGAAACAACCCAGGGATGTGGGGGTGTGGGGGTGAGGGGCTGGGGGTGTTGTTTTCCACTTACATGAGGACTTGGAGGTTAGGAAGCCTTTCCATGGGTACCGCTAGTGGTCAACTGCGTGACTGGTTTATAACCCCAGTGCAGGCTTATAACCCCAGAGCTGTGGAAGTGGGGCCAGAGAAATCCCCAAGGCTCGCTGGCAGACAGCTTAGAGTAACCAGTGAGCTCCAGGCCAGTGAGAGAGCAAGGCAGATGGCTCCTCTGAAATGGCACCTGAGGCTCTTCTCTGGTATGCAGATACACACACAGAAACACACATGCATGCTTGCACGAGTGTGCACAATTAATCCCAGGAAACAGCACTGAACAGGAAAGGGCTTAGAAGCAGGGCCAACCAAGCAGTGCCAGGCATGTGTCCCTGGGTCTAGGAACCTGTGTCCCATGGCACATAGAGTGGGTCCAAGGTAGAGAAATTTGGTTATATTGAGTCTGACTCACAGCCCTTGTTTTTGGCAGTGGGAAATCTGCCGTTCTTTGAGGACGCTTCTCTCCTGTTCAGTAGCTCTGTAAACAGCCAGGCCTGGAGCCTTGGGTGCACGAGATAGACCTCACATAGTGGTGAGGCTCAGGCCCTCCATCCATTTCTGGTTTCAGGATAGTGTGCATGGCTTGGGTAATTAGGCTTTGTACAGCTGTTCACAAGCCCTTCTTCATTTCAGCTCGATTCTCTAATTGGAATGCCAAGGATGACAATTAAAATTTGCCACCCTGTCTTAGGAAGGCAGAGACTGGTGGGCAGCTGGCAGGCAAGCTCCCGGCAGGCACTCTAAAATACCACCTCATATATTGTGATATGAGCACAAGCAATTATCAAAGCATTTCTTAGCCAATACACCCCAATATGAAAATGAATTGTTGAGTGGAACGATTTGTTTTGGGCAGTCGACAGCTGGGTGTTTAATTTGCACGCACATGATGACTATGACTCTGCCAGCTTCTGACCCAGTGACATGGTCCTCTTAAGCAGGAAGGACCATGCTCACCCTCTGCCTCTGCCTTTGACTGAAGACGTGAAGCCCTCCTCCACCCCCATCATGGGAAGCTCTCCACAGTGGTGCATCTTGTTTATTCTCATGTTGGAGTATTGACTTTATTAATTAGTCTCGGGCTCTGGAACCTTCTCTTTGTTTCTTCTTGGTTGTTGATCTTATCTTGTCTGAAGAGCATTTCACAGCAACCAGCAAGCATGAACTGTGAGCGCTCAGCCCAAGAGTGAAATCCATCCTTCTCTCAGTGCCTTACCCTCCTTTCCCTGCTCAGTCTTAAATATATATATCATTGTGGATATTCTGCCTACATGTATGTCTGAGCAGCACGTGTGTCTGGTAACCACAGAGGTCAGAAGAAGATGTTGGATCCCATGGAAATGGATGGTTGTCCTCTAGAAGAACAACCAGTCGCTATAAGCTCTGCGTCATCTCTCCATCACCCACCACCTGCCCCAGTTCAGTCTTAAAATTTATTGACTCAACTATATTTCAGCCTCAGTGGTTGGGCGCTGGTTTGGATACCTAGTGTGCCTGCCTGCTTGCCTGCCTGTCTGCCTTCCTTTTTCCCTCCTACTTTCCTTCCTTCCTTTTCCTAGAATTGTCAGTTACCTTTTGTCTATCTATGTTGACCTCTAGTAAGATTTAGAGACTCCCACAAAAGGAAATGTCAGGGGCTTAGTTTGTATGGAAATCAGTCTCTCATGGGCTCCTTACTGAAAACAGCCCTTTTCTCTTGTAAGTCATTTATCCTGCAATAATCCTCCCTGGAGGTTTAGCTGCGATTCTCACCCTGCAAAAGGGCAGTTTGATTGTTGCCACATTTCCAAGACTAGGCGGCACTGTGCCCTTTTCTTGCTGCTGACTTGCTGCCGACAGAGAATGCCCTGGGCTTGCTTGCATGTTCAGCCCCGCATCATTTATTCACAGGGCAGCTCTCACAAAGAGGATTGGAGAGTGGTTTTTATCGTTTGTGTTCTTTCCGTGACTGGTCACAGTGGAAGGGAGCTTGGTCCCAGTGCATGCTGGGAGGGAGAAACAGGGTAGGCTTGGCTAATCACAAAAGGTCCTAGAAGCATGGTGTGCTTCCAGTAATTTAGTTCTCCCCTGGCTGGAAGCCGGCTCACACCAAGCATCTGGCATCCCGTGAAATTCTCGATGCTGCTCAATTCAGGCTCACTGGTTTGCATGAGGTCATGTGGGTGGTAATGGACTTGCACTCTGGTGAGGGTGCTTTCAGATCCACCGGGCTACTGATGGATGGTCTCTTATAAATACTGAGTGCAGATGCTGAGACTGAGAGCATAAGGGAAGAAGTTCAGAGGTGCATTTCTCTCTCCGGTGTTTCACTTCCTGGCAGCTCTGAGCTGTTACTGAGGCCCCTACGCTGTCTGTAAGCTGTTCTGTACTCGGTAGGTGTGTAGGGAGTATTTTTTTGTGCTAGAGTTGTAAATAAACATACTGAATAGTTTTTTATGTGCTAACCATATGGTAGGTTTGCTTTTTATAGTACTTATCTTTTTTTATTATTATTTATTCTTTCAAGCATTCTGCAAAGCAGTTCTTGTAGTCCTCTTCCCTGAAAGCCTATAGCCTAGGAAGATGGAGCCAATGTCTGGTTTCTTTGAGGTTGCTTCTTCTTATTTGGAACCCTTTTAAGAATTAATCAGTTGACATGTATTTTAGCCAATCCTGGCTGAGGTCCCATTCTGTGCTCAGCACAGTGGTGGGCGCTGCCTGGATACTGGGTTTTGTCTTTGTACTGTGTTCACTGGCAGAATACAAACGCTTTGGTGTGGGGACTAAAGGCTCCACCTCCCCCAGATTGAACTCCTCCCCACTATCCTCCTCCTCTTCTTGAGGACTGAGTCTCATGTAACCCAGGCTAGCCTCAGAACGTGCTGTGTGACCAAAGGTGAACTTGAACTATTGGTCCTTCTGCCTCCATCACCCCAGTGCAGTGATTACAGGAATGCACCATCACACCTGGGATGGTCTTCAGAGTCCGGGAGTTTTTCTGAGAGAAAACCCACTAAGCTGAATGCTGGTTGCAGCACAGACTAAAGGTGGAATGGGGTGTGGGTATCTGAGGGTCAGAAAGAGTAGTCAGGGTAGCAGCTGCTTGGGCTCCGTGGATTGGAAGGTCTCACGGAGCTAGGAAAATGTCCTTCTGCAGCAGTAGCACCTCTGTATGCCCAAACTACTTTCTTTGTAGCATCCCTGCTAGAAGTGACTGCACATACAGGAGAGAGAGAAAAAAAAGAAAGAGAGAGATCCTTGTATCATTGAACTGTCTGACCCACTTAAGCAGGAAGTTCTTTGAGGGCTCTCCACTCTGCTCATGGAGTCTCCCAACCCCCATCACACACACACCATGCCTTAGGATGAATGTAGTCTATGAGTGACTATTTCCTCTTGCGGAGTAGCCCAGTGGCTGGAGAAGGGTGCAGCCCAGCCTCTCTGCTTGGTGAAAGAGGATTCAGGAGGAAAAGTGCTAAAAGCCCACCCTGTGGCTTATACTGCATGTGGGTTTGTGACCAGCTGCTGCCTCACTGTCTTACCATCGATTTTCTGATGTTTCCCTCACATTCTGTGGCTCCCGCTCACTGGAAGTTCTCTGAGGATACTTCCCTCATCTCCCACTGCTCAGCCTCCATGTTGATGGAGTATAAATGTGTTATTTGTCCTCCGCATAGAATCTTGCAGTGTTCATTGGCTTCTGGTGAGGGAAAGTCTCTCTTGGCTAATGCCAGTCTGTGTTTAGTGGATCCTTTGTTACACTAGCTAACTTGGAGGCAGAAGAATTATTCTAAAAGAGGCCGTGGCCACTTAGACTTTCTTTTGAGTTATTGTTCCTCTCAGAAAAACATCTGCTGTGGTGTGTGTCAATTGGATCCTAACTTTAATAAATACCTTGCCTCCCTATTTGGTAAGAATGATTACTTTTTGTGAACAATAAATAAGAAAGAGGGCATGAATACCATTCTCATTTTTGCCACCACCAGCCAATCAAAGTATTAATCATAATGGGTCCTTGGAAATTTCTAAACAGTGGTGTTTCTTAGACGTTACTGTTCAGGGATGCACCAGTTCAGGGAGCGGAACAGGACTTCCAGCATAGAACCTCATCTGTGAGACCGCAAATGCCTGTCTTCTTGATGTCTTGAAGGATTTCCTGGGGGTAATGGAGAAACAAGTGTTTTCATTGCCTTGGAAGTGATTACACGAAAAGGAAGGGCAGTGGAAATGTGTCCCTTCCCCTGTGGACATGATGCTATGTGTGAGGGAGGAATTTTTTTTTTCTATTTGTCTTTTTCTAAAGCCATTTGGGCAATTAACACTGAGAGTTAGTGTCATTAATAGCTTGAAATTTTAACTGATTTGAAGTGACTCTTTTTCTGTGCAATTAACAATGAGAATTAATGTCATTAATAGCTTGGACATTTAACTGACTTGAAGGGATTCTTTTCCTGTGGCTTGCGGCCTTGGGGCAGTGACAGTTTTTCTTGTAGCCACTTCTGACAGTCTGTGCAGAGCATTTGGCAGCGAAATGGCTGCAGCCAGAGTGTCTCTGAGCTGGTGTGCCTGCCAAGCTGTCTGCCCTCTGCAGCTAGCTTCCCCAGGGAAGGAAGAGCCACAGGGGAAACTACGAATATTTAGGGCCAACAAGGTGCTAGGAAATTGTACTGTGAAGTTGTTATTTCTTTGCTTGATAAAAGAAAAAAAAAATTAACAGCAATCTAAGGCCATCCCCATTACATAGGTGGGAAAACCAAGTCCTATACTGAGCTCCCCTGGTTAATAAGTGGCTTGCTAGGCAGATATGAGAGAGAACAAGAACAGAATGTGCAGTTTGTCTAGTACAGGCCCCATATTTTCTGAATTAAGGAATGTGTGAGGATGCAGCTACCCAGCATGGTTTTTGTGAGCTTGTTATTCACTTATAAGAGATCACTTCTGGCTCGGCAACTCATGGCACAGAAGTGTTGTTTTAGGATTGTGGAGATCAGAGTCTGATGGGTCTGTCCAGGCAAAAGTCAAGCTTCACAGCTTCCAGAAGCAGCCTCACTCAGTGCTCATCCCTTCCCAGGTCTTCAGAGCTGTCAGTTTTCACGTCTGCATTCTTTCCTTCCTCATACTGTCCCCTCTGGCCCTGATTCCTCTTCAACCTCTCTCTTCCAAGTTGATACCCTCTTTATTGATGTTTGGGTGCCAAAGTCAGCTGCTGAAGAATGGTTCCGTCTGCATCCTCAGCACCTTTGTCATGGACTTTTAGTCACGTGTTCAGGATTGAAGACATGGTGGAGAAGCCACTGTTCTTTCTGTCCCACCAGGCTTCATTCAAGATGTGAAGTCTGTTTTGCCTCTCTCAATAGAACACAGCTTTACTTTCAGAACCTGTGGGATTCTGTCTGGATCATTTAGCATTTTTCAGTGCACAAACCTGTTTTAAGCACCTCCTGTGATTCCTTCTGGATCCAACAAAGTTTTTCTTGGAGTTAAGTACTTGTTGTGACAGTGAATGAAGCAAGTGCATGGGGTGTTCTTTAAAATGAGACTGATGGGGCCTGGAGTGGTGGTTCTCTTCTAGAGAAACAGCCTTTATTGAAGTGCCTTTAATTCGAGGTAATATTTTACTACAGCTTTTCTGATAAAAATATGTAGGTAAACTGCCAAGTACCCATTTCTCTGACAGGTACCCATTCATCTCTCTGCATGCATAGCTATCTATCTATTTGGCACTTACAGATGGATGTTGAGGGTTCCTAGATAAGAAAGCATACCTAAGACTTGTTTTCAGTTCTTGAACGCATCTAGCAAGGAACAGACCTAATGGGACTGGTGAAAAGTGACAAAATTTAAGCAGACTGATATGGGCATGATCTGTTCCCCACTTTCAAATGCTTAAGATTCTCTGTGATGGCTTCCTTAATACTTTCATTTTGTTACATCGCCATCAAGTGACAGATGATGTCTACCATTGCAGAGCATGGGCAAAGAAAGGCTTTTTTTTTTTTTATTAATTACACGTTATTCACTTTGTATCCCCTCATAAGCCCCTCCCTCCTCCCCTCCTGATCCCACCCTCCCTCCCCCTTCTTCATGAATGCCTCTCCCCAAGTCCACAGATAGGGGAGGTCCTCCTCTCCTTCCTTCTGATCTTAGTCTATCAGATCTCATCAGGAGTGGCTGCATTGTCATCTTCTGTGGCCTGGTAAGGCTGCTCTCCCCTCAGGGGGAGGTGATCAAAGAGCAGGCCAATCAGATTATGTCAGAGGCAGGCCCTCTTCCCATTACTATGGAACCCACTTGGATACTAAACTGCCATGGACTACATCTGTGCAGGGGTTCTAGGTTATCTCCATGCATGATACTTGGTTGGAGTATGAGTCTCTGGGCTTATGGGGAGATACAAAGTGAAGAAAGTGTAATTAATAAAAAAAAGAGTATCTCTTAGGGGGCTGTTTATTCTTACTCTCTACGTGCTATAACCATCACCAAGTGTTATTTATTTGATGTTATCAATGTTATTGCCAATTTTATTCTGTGTGAATATAGTTCCTCTTCACTTTTTGCTTAAATGTAACAATAACTTCACTTGTCTTATTTTTTTGCAATTACATATACATATGTGTATGTGTGTGTATGATTGTATATAATGAATTGTAATCATATTCACTGCTTTGCCCTCCCTTATTCTTTTGTAGTCTTGTTGGCTCCCTTCTTTCAAATTAGCTCCTCCTTAAAAAAAAAAAAGGCTCTTTGTGCATTGCTGGGCTGTACATCTGGAAACCACTTGGACAGATGTTCAGAGAGGCTTAATTATGCTGCTGACATGCTACAATTCAAAGGAAGAAGGATTGGGTTTGTTTCATGGGCTGAGGGAGTGGTCCATCGTGATAGGGAAGGCATGGCCGCAGGAGCAGGTCAAGGCTGGGGAGTAGGAATCAGGAAGTAGAGACCAGGTAGAAAGCCGGACTGAGCTGTCACCCTAAAGGCCTTCACTCAGCATCCCATTTCTTCCAGGTAGGCTGTCCCTACTATGGTTCCATAACTTCCCCCAAACAGTACCACCAACTGATGACCAAGTGTTAAACCAATGAGCTTATGGGGGACATTTTCATTCAAATTATAAAAGAGTAGAAGGGAGGGAAAAATGGGAAGAGAAATAGGGGAAAGAAAGAGAAAAGACTTTACCCATAAATACCTTACCGTAAATACATGCTTTCATGTAATGGAGTCCATTTGACTTCTGTTTCTCAGGTTGGAGATCGCAACCCTGAATCAAGCAGATGCAGACCTGGAGGCTTGTCGAAACCAAATTAGTAAGGACATCATCGCTCTTCTGATGAAGAATCTGACCAGTAGTGGTCACCTCTCTCCACAAACAGAGAGGAAGATGGCCAGTGCTTTCAAAAAACAGTTTCTGATGCTGGAAAATGAAATACAAGAGGAGTATGAGCGGAAGATGTTGGCACTGACAGCAGAGTGTGACCTAGAAATGAGGAAGAAAACAGAAAGCCAGTATCAGAGGGAGATGCTGGCCATGGAAGAAGCAGAAGAGGTGTTGAAGCGAGTTAGTGAGAGGGTAAGGCAGCCCTGAAGGCTTGCACATGCCTCATTCCTCCTCAAGGTCTCATTAGTAACCACTGCCACAACCAACATATCTTTCCACCCATCCATCCATCCACCCATCCATCCACCCATCCATTCATAATCTGTTCACCCATCATCCCTCTATTCATCCATCCATCATTCATTTATCCATCATTCATCATCCATCCATTCATTTATCCAAACATTAATATATAAATTCACCCAGCCGTTTATCCATCTACCCATCTGTTCACCTATCTACCTATTGATAGATTGATCCATCTATCCATCCATTCATCCATTCACCCATTCATCCATCTACCCAAGCCACAACCACCTATATATCAATACACCAGATCACCTATCCACTCACCTATCTATCCATCCATCCACTCACTGACTTATCTCACTCATCCATCCATTAATCTGTTCATCTATTCACCAGTCCACATATCAATTAACCTAGCCATCTACCTATAGATTATTCTGTCTATCCGAACCCTCATCCATTTGTCCATCCATCCATCCATTCATCCATCCATCCACCCACCCATCCATTCTTCCACCCATCCATTCATAATACATTCATATATACATACACCTACCCATCCACCTACCTATCCACCCAACCATCCATCCATGCCTCCATCCTCCCTCCATGCATCTGTTCGTTCACTCACCATTTATTCATACATTCATCTACCCATCTTCTCTTCCTGCCACCCACCCAACTATCTGTCCATGCATCCACTTACTCGCTCATCCATCTATACACTATTGTATCTATTGGTCCATCATCCACTTTTCTATCTATACACCAAATCATACGATTCCTAACCATATACATCTAGTCATCTATCTGCCCTTCTTTCCATCGCACCTATTCCTAACCATATACATCCATTTATCTATCTGCCCTTCCTTCTTTCCATCTACACTTCTAGTCATTTACCTATCTGTCTATATACCCTTGTATCCCCCCATCTACCCATCCATGATATTTCAGTAGGATTTATGGGTAACTTACTGCCTCTTTCCTGCTGGCTAGGGACTAGAGATACAGAGTTGAATCCGCCCTCTTGTATTCAAGAAGCTCAATATGAGCTAATAAAATATCCTCATATTTGAAAAAAATATATGACACAATCAGCCATGTAATGACACAGTTCTGTTTGTGGTGCCATCATGGTTATGGGGAGAGTAGAAAGCTTCATTAGCAGAGAGCATGGCCAGGTCATAGTTGGTTATAATGTCAGAGAACATATGTTCTTTTGGGGACTGCTGATAGCCAAATCACAGCTCTGAACTGAACAGGTCCGCCAGGCAAGCCTGGACTTAGAGTTGTAATGTGACTTTTTTTGTGTGTGTGGAGACCTAAGCTAATGTCTGCTCTTCTCAGACAGGGCAGGAATCACAGACAGACAAAAAAAAAAGCCAGCAAACAAACAACAAACAAACAAAACCAACCAAACAACAACAACAAACACTCAACCAGAGTCTAGCTTAGTGAACCAGTCAGTTTGTTGAACGTATCATGGGAGCATGGGAGACTCAGAAACAGCTGCATCGTTGAAAGCCCACAGCGGCATGAGTGATGATTGCCAAAGCTGCATCCCTTGAGCACCCTCCTCAACTTGCAGCTAGTTTCACTGAAGAGTCCCCTCTCTCAAACGATTGTTATTGTTTATATAGCTTTGGGGAGGAGCCTTGTGAGTTTCATTTACTTTCTGATCTTAGCTGGGTTTATTTATTTCTTGAGTCTTACCAGTAATGGAAAAGAGAAGTAGTTAAGGTGCCAGTGGCCAACCTGAGAGAATTGGTCTCTCAGGCACAGCAGAGCAAGTCTGAATTGACTTCCCAGCAGGAAAGGTGGTTGTCCAGACATTATGACCTATGCCTGCACAGGTCTGAACCCTGTGTCCTCTAGAGGCCCAGCAGCTTAGAGAAAGTTGGTGGTTGATGCCTCCAGACCTCACCTGCTGAGAAACACAGACTATCTCCCTCCCTATAAGTCAATAAAAGCTCTCAGGCTCACTCAGGTTTCAGCATAGACACAGCTGCATTAAAGGATTCACTGTGGACACACAGGATTCACTGTGCTTCACCTGTTCCCTTGCTTCAGGGCCTGCCTTGCCTTGGTGCTATCTTGTTTACAGCTGGGCTTGTGGCTTGGGTAGATGCTATACTAGAAACCAGTAGCTCCCAGAACAAGGCACCATACATCTGATGTCAGAGAGAGAGAGAGAGAGAGAGAGAGAGAGAGAGAGAGAGAGAGAGAATTTTTTCTTTTTTGGTTTGGAGTCTGGAAATACAATTCAGGGTAGGACCCAGTTCCCTCTGGAGTCTTTAGGGAGGGCGTTCCTTGTTTGACAGCTTTGCTGGTGGCTCCATGTGTTCCTGGGATTGTTGTCATTCCTGCTTCATCTTCTCATGGCCTCTTCCTGGAACACTGTCCCCTCTTCTCTGTCTCCTGTGAGGACACTTGTCATTTGATTCAGGACACTTGTCATTTGACTCAGTGGGATGCACTTATGAGATCTTTAACTTGATTCAACCTGCAAAGACCCTTCAAGTTCAGATTTATAGGTTCCCAAGTTATGGGGTCAGGACCTAGATGTGTGCGTGGATTTGGGAGTGGATGTTACTCTATGCACTCTAGCTTCCCTAGTGACCCCATCTTCTCTAGTGTTCTGTCTTTCACTGTGGTTCAAGTCCACAGCCAGGCCCCAAGAGAGAGAGTGTATTCAGCTCGCTGTGTGGTGAATGGACCCCAGCAACATCTTGTCAGAATCTGTTTTTTTTTTTTTTAATTTTAATTTTCTTTACAAAAATAGTATAAGCCAGGCTGTATTATAAGTAAGTTCTATTCCTTAGGGCTTTCAGAGCATGTCTTTTGCTGCCAAAAGGCTCCAGCTCCCTAGGAGCTTAGACTGGGTTGAGGCTTCCTTGGGCTTAAGTTTCACCCTGTAGCACAGCCAGGGGGTGGCTGGACACCAGAGCACAGAGAAGAGATGATCTAGTGGCCATTGAACAGACCGCCATGAAAGGCTGGGAATCTCTAAAAGCCAGAGGATTTGTGTGTTTTTGCCTCAAGGAGATGGTTCATGTTGGAGGAGGTAGCTGTGTGGCTCTGGCTCAACACTGTGCAGTGTGTACTCACACTGAAATGTCACAAGGCAGCCCATCTATATGTCATGTTTCTGTTTTCATGTGTCAGATCAAAGCTTGATATAAATGAAAAGATAAAGAGAAGCAAGGGCCTCAGTCAGTGCTGTGGTGAGCTACTCTGGCAAAAAGCAAACTAAAAAGGAAACTGTTTTGGCTGGTAAGTGTAGACTCTGTCATAGCAGGGAAGCATGGCAGTCTGAGAGTGAAGGTGGCCTGGCAGTTAGGATGCAGAGCAATCATACTTCCTCCTCACACAGGAAGCGCAGAGAAAGAAGTGGAGGCAGGATAAAGAACCTAAAAACATACTTCCTCCAGCAAGGATCCACCTCCTTATGGTTCTATAACCTTTCCAGACAACATCACCAGCTGGGGACCATGTCAGCCTCTGGGGAGCACTTCATATTCAGACCGTCACACCATTCCTTTTGCTATGGTAAAGTACTATGACAAAGTAACTTAAGAGAAGAGGTTTATTTCAGCTCACAGTTCCAGGGTATTTATACTTGATAGTGACTGGGAAGTTGAGGCAGCAGATACTCAAAGCAGTTGGTCATATGATATCCACAGTCAAGAGCAGAGAGAATTGAACACAAGCATGCTAGTGCTCAACCCTCTCTCTGCTCTGTCATAGTTCAAAATCTAAACATAGGGAATGGTGCTGCCCATTGTAGCATGGATCATTCCACACTAACTAATGTAATCAAGACAAGCCCTCATAAACAGGCCCACCAGCCAACCTGGTCAAGGCAGTTCTTCAGCGAGATTCTTCCCAGGTGATTCTAAATGGTGTCAAGTTGAGGTTCATAGTTTACTGTCATCCTTAAGAAAACCTTGGTCATAAAACATATAAAATATTTACATTTGCAGTTGAGGAAACTGAGGCCCAGGAAAGCAGAGCCTCACAGCTAAGCTTCCTAAGGCCACTTGACATTGCATCTTTGATAGATGTATTTAAAAAACAAAACAAAACAAAACAAAAAACAGTTTTACTGTCTTGCCAGTTTAGCTGAATGGAGTACAAGGAGTGTAACTGTGGAAATCCTAATCTCACAAACGGAGTGGTGTAGAGTGAACGGGGGCACAGGAGCAGCTCTGGGACAATTCAAAACCAGCTTGTGGTTGGATGACGGTCCTTGCTGGCCATGTCTCCTCTCCATGAAAAAACTCGTTCTTTGGAAAGTTCAGCAGGGATTTGGCCCTGAGGTGGGGTGGGGGCTGGGGGGAGAGATCTCTAATGGTATCCTTTAACTGGTGCATATTTACTGACAACATCTGAAATAGAAACCCTTATATTCAAAATGTGGATTTCTCCAAGTGTGGTAGGTAGCCCATGGCTGTAATCCCGGAATTTGGGGGATAGAGCAGGAGGATCAGGAGTTCAAGGTCATCCTCAGCTATTAGTAAATTCATAACCAGCCCAGGCCCGCCTCTGTTTTCAATGAAACCCACATCTCACTCCATGCCCTCTTAAAGGCTCTTCTGTGATGCAGCCATATCCACCCACGATGGAGCCTTTCCTCAACCCCAGTTTACCTGCAGTCAACGAAAGAGGGACCTAAATACATCAGGACACTGGGACGGGGTGGGGTGGGGTCAGCAGGCCTGCTTTGGAAGTGTGAGGACCTGAGTTTGGATTCACAGCATCCATGCAGAAGCAGGCATGGTGACACACCTTTAGCCCACCTCTGGGAGAGCAGAGACAGATTTTAGGGGCTCAGTGGCAAGCCGGGTTCAGTGACCCTGTCTCAATAAGTACGGCGAGGGGGGGTGAGAGAGGATACTGGGTGTTGACCTCTGGCCTCCATACATCATGTGCACTTGTGCGCGCACACACAGGGCTGGGGGACGCGTTGCCATGGAAGGTAATCTCAGAAGCGGTCATCCCATCCTGTTTCAGTCCACGCCTTCACATGTGGAAGCATCACCCGACAAACCTAGTGGGGTCCTATGATCCCACCTACCCATGAGGGGTAAAGAGCACCTCCCTCCCGGTGGGAATCCTTCCCCGCCTGCAGCCTCCCCAGATCGCCTCAAAGTTCCGTTTCTCAGCAGCTCTTCCCTGAGGAGCTGAGCTCAGGTCTGACTGCTGGCAATTTTTCTCCTCATTGACGCTGGGAGCGAAAGTGGTGGGCATCATCTCAAGAGTCTAACTGCTTAGACTCCTTAACACTTAGGAGATTTCCATTTTTTTTTTTTTTTTTGCAGCCGCCTTTCAAACAATCTGATTTGCAAATTGGCACACGCCCGCCCACTGCGATCTTTCTATTTTACGGCTGTTCTGGCAGAAAATTCAGATCATAGGGAAGGGTGGGTCGGAACGGCATCTTCTCAGGATTCAGCATCGTCAACCCTGTCATCCTGGGGCTGTGTGTGTGTGTGCGCACATGTGAAACTGTGTGCACTATGGTGTCTGTGTTTGCTCTGTACTCATGCTTGAGTGCATTATGTATAACATTATGTATAACTTTGGCTGTACTGCTGTGTGTACACACACACGCATGTACACAGTGAAGATGTGTACATACCTGTGCAGACATGGACATTTGTATGTAGTTACATGCGCTCATACACTGCACCTGTGCATGACGTGTGTGAGCAATACAAGGTGTGTGTTGCAGGGCACTGTTTGTTTTGAGTGTGCGTGTGCGTCCATTGCATTCGTGTATTATCTGTTTATATGTGCGTGGGTGGGTGGTGGGTGTGCCTGTTCACATTCGGCTTGTCTGCCTCTCACAGCTTTCTCTTCTCTCCACAGTCCGCTGCAGAGTGCAGCAGCCTTTTGCGGACCCTCCACGGGCTGGAGCAGGAGGACATGCAGAGGTCCCTCGCTCTGCAACAAGCAGAGGATTTTGCCCAAGCGCACAGGCAGCTGGCTATCTTCCAGAGAAATGAATTGCATAGCATCTTCTATACCCAGATACAGAGCGCTGTTGCCAAAGGGGAACTGAGGCCCGAGGTGGCCAAAATGTTGCTGCAAGACTATTCTAAAACACAGGTGATGCCTGCGATCGGGTTTGCCCGGGTAGAGAGGCATTTTCTAAACCCTCAGTGATTTTCCCTCTTAGTGGCGAGTCCTGTCTTCCTTCTGTGCTGGGAGCAAGTGAGCTTTCTACTCCTTCCTCTTCTTGATGAGGGAGTGAGTTTCTGGCATGGAGGGCGGAGGTTGCTGTGGGCTCAGGCTGACTTGGACTGTTTCTGGTTCTACCTGTAGCAGCTGTGGGTCCTGGTGAAGGTTTAATGAGCTGGTCCTTGGTGAGTCGGTGCTATGCATAAAGTGTGTGACACTCACATACACATACTGACACACACACAGTAATGCACCTACCCATGCACGTGAAGGATTTGGGGTCTATGTCTAGATGGGCCCATAAACCCAAGTGTAAGGATTGTTCGTGTAGACTGAACCAGTTCCTAGTTGATAGTGAAGGCAGTTTTCTGAACTTGTTCATATTGTGGGAAATTTCCCCACTTCCAAATGACATAGAGCAATAGAGGAGCAGCCAGGAGGCTACAGGGCTCAGCCTTCATCTTCTAATCCTTGGCTGCTGAGGATGACCTGCTGACACTTAGCTCCTGATTTGGGGTTCTTGCAGAGGCTGAGTGAGCAGGAGGGGAGACATCATCACCCCAAGCCTGTTAGGAAGCCACCGCCATACTCAGAGACACTCTAAGAGAACACACCACTACTCTATGTGGAAGTAGGTCTTTTTCCCCCTAACATGCAGTAATAGTACATGTCCAGGAGATGTCTGGACCCCACAACATCACAGACGTATGAAAGGTTCTTGAGTTTGCTTCACTCCCATGATGCACAGCACTGATGCCTAAGACCAGATATTGGGAAAGTGCACATCCCATTTAAAAGAGAGAGAGAGAGAGAGAGAGAGAGAGAGAGAGAGAGAGAGGTGCCCCCACGCTACCCACTGGCATTAGTACCATCACTCTGCACTTTTCAGGTGTTGGAACTGGCTGTGAAGTCCCAGATGGCTCGGGCTCTGGCTCCATGGAAAATAATGAAGTATTGCTGCAGCAGTCCTTGCTTGGGAGCTCTAGTGCCCAGAAGGCCCTGGGGAAGGACCATACAGTCTGGAACCCAGACCCAGATCTCTGACTTCAGATCCCTGCTTAGATACTTTCCAGCAGCGTGATGTGAACTGGGTTTCCTCATCTGTGCCCAGCTATTTCCAGAAGTGTGATGTGCGCTCTGGGCTTGGTTTCTTTCTCCGTAGATTGGGAATGATTACTCAGTCCTTCAATTAAAACGGAAGAGGCTCAGAGTGCTTTTACCCAGAGATTTCACAGAGGACACACAGACCTGAGCCTGCAGCTGTTACTATGATTCCCTTCTGCTGTCCTTTGTACCTGCCCCGCCTGCTTTGTCTCCTTCACCACCAAGAGGTTGGCTAGATGGCTGATTCACCCTAGAAAATCAACACTTGTCCCGTGATACAAGGCTGTTGGGCATCTCTAGCTGGGCTGTGAATGGTGGGTGCAGGGAGAACGATGGCACAGGCAACACACGCATCTTGTTTGGTGGTACAGACATGTTGCTGAGGAGGAGGTGGCATATGTATGGCTCCCAGGGTACTGCTCAGAGCCTTCTTATTCCTACCTCACTTCCTCATAGCCTTTGTTACAGCAGGGAAGTGCGAGGTATCCACCCCGATGCTGGTCTGGGGACTGTCTTCCAAAAGGAAAAGTTATGTTTTAAATAGCCACAAAGACTTTTCTTAACATTTTAATGAGGCAGGCCTCTCATCTTGTGAAACAGGAGAGTGTGGAGGAGCTGATGGACTTCTTCCAGGCCACCAAGCGGTACCATCTCAGCAAGAGGTTCGGCCACAGGGAGTACCTGGTCCAGAGCCTGCAGGCCATGGAGACCCGTGTGCAAGGGCTGCTGAGCACCGCAGCTAGCCAGCTGACAAGCCTCATCCACAAACATGAGAGGTAAGAGCATGGAGCCTCACAAGGGAGACGGAGATGCTGCCCCAGCCTTCCTACTCAACACCAGAGGGAGACTGACCCACTCCCAAGACCAGTCCCTTCCTGTCCACTCAGCTATGCCCAAATGCTGTCACCTGGTTCATCTTGGGAATTCTTTTGTTGTAAAATTCCCCTTTGGTAGACTTTTAAGAACCATACTTCGTAGTCAAGACAATAGTAGGATGGCCTCCCGTATGTCCTCATCATTCAGCTCCTGCCAGCTCTGACTAATAGCTTTATGCTCCTTTCTTGGACTGTTTGAAGGAGCAAATTATGAGTCAGATTTTCTGGATAAATTCATGAAGAAGGCTGACACGGACTGTGGTGGGACGGCCCACTTGTCTTCAGGACTAGCACTGAACTGCCCAATTGAGTGTAATAGACATGGAGGCTTGGCTTGGGCTCAAGGGATTTTCCTCAGCACCACTGGAGACCATACACAGTAAGGTGAAGGGTGACAAGCGCTCCTGAGGCAGCTTCCTTGTAAATAGTGAGGTGTGCTGTCTAGGTTAGAGAGGAACAGGGAAACGATCGTGAGGTTGGCCTGCTTGTGGCCACGAATGGCTTTATGAATTGATTCTACACCACAGGTCTTGGGGACATTAAAGCTTCCTGCTGTGGTTAATAAAGATTCAGTAGGATGCAGATTATGTAGGCACTGCCCATCTTGATATGATAATGAATTCATCGCAGCCTGCTTGGTATTCCTAATTAATTTTCACTGAAGTGAAAGAAGGGTCTCAGCCTGAAGAAATGGCAGCTGCTTGGCTGCCCTGAGTGGTTTCCGGAGAAGGCCATTTTACCTCTTATTTTGAATTCTGTTTTTAATACTGGGCACAGATTTAACATCCCCACCCCCATGTGTATGTGTGAGCACCTGCAGAGGGGGATATGCTTGCTTGGAGAGGGGTAGTGAGTGGTTTTCTCTCTGGCTTCCCACTTTGCTATTTAAGAGAGGTGGGGTTTTTTTTTTTCTCTCTTTTGTTTTTTGTTTGTTTGTTTTGTTCTGTTCTATTCTGTTTGTTTTACTGAGTTGGAACTCAGAGACTGGCTCTCCTTTATGGCTAGAAAGCTCCTGGGATCTGCCTATCTCCTCCTGTCTCATCACCACCACTATCCCCACCCCCTCTCCTGGATGGAGTGACAGATGACTTCTACCATGCCCAGCTTTTCACGTCAGTGCTGGGATCTGAGCAACCACTTTGGCCATTTAACTGTTTCTCCAACCACAGACTTACATTCCTAAAGCCCCAGTTTCCTTTCCTTCCTACCTCCTTCCATCAGGATTGTCTGATCTGTATGGAACTGGAGGACACAGCCAAGGGATGCAGACAAGCTGGAGATAGTGATAGCAGGAGCAGCATACACTTGCCAAGGCTCTGGGACAAATTGAAACACCAGGGCAGACTTTAGGAGAGCCAGGGTAGTGACTGGCTCACCTGGTCAGGGGTCAGGAAGTCTCCCCACCTGTCAAGTGGTTGCTGTAGTTCCAGTTAGAAGGCACAGCACCCAGGTGCTGGGGTGTGAATCCCAGGCTGAGGGCAGAGATGGTGTAGCTGACACACAGTAAGCTGTGGGGCTCAAAGAGGGGGCGTCGATCCTTTGTACTGTAAGTTTGCTCTACTTGGAACCTCACAAGTTGGGCGTTACCCACATTTTGAAAATGTCCCTTTTCTTTTGCTGCTGCAGAATACCCAGCTGGACACAATGCAAGTTTATTTGGTGTGTGGTCTTTCTGGAGCATAGAAAGGCTAAGACTGCATCTGCTGAGGGTCTTCTGCTGTGCTGGACCATGCAGAAGGCACTGCATGGTGATGGGGCTTGAGGGTTGTGGGGCGGCAAGGGGATGAGACTCCCCTTTCACAGTAATCACATCCTGCAGTTACAACGCTGATCATCTCTTTAAATTAAAATTTAAGTTAGTATATAAAGCAATGTGTTTCATTATGGAATTTTCATATATGCATGACACAATTTGTTCCTGTTTTCTCCTTTCTCTCACTCACACACAATCTCTCTTCCCCCTGCCTCTCTCACATACACTTTCCTGTCCCTTCTCTTCCATTCTTGCTGGCCTCCTTTCTCACAAACCATCCCCCTTTTCTGACTTAGCTCACTGGTTTAGACTCATACAGGAAATTAAATGTCCACACACGTTTTGAAGGGAACGTTCAGACAAAGCATGAGTCTCCCTATTCATGTACTGGTGGCATTTGAATCGCTACCCAGATATCCACAGCCCCTCTTTGGCTTTCCCTCTTCTTGACCCAGGGTTCTTGGACTCCTCTTCTTCTTGGGAAGCACTCTTCATACTCAGTGGTCTCTGCAGACATCTTTTTCTCCCCAAACCTCTGCCTATCCTGACCCATCAGATCTCTGGATTGAGCTTTCTCCTTTCATCTTCATGCACTCTGACCTTCCTCTGTCGGTATCTTACCTCTCAGTGACAACTTCTCCTCCTGGAGGTGCTCCAGCTTGAGACCAGCCTAATAAGAGCTATACCCCCAGCTGCACAGCAGTCCAGCCTGTGGAGGGGAGAGAAGGAGCCTGAATCCTCTGACTTTCCATCTTCTCCATGCAGGGCCGGGTACTTGGATGAAGATCAGATGGAAATGCTGTTGGAGCGTGCACAGACGGAAACCTTTTCTATAAAACAGAAGCTAGACAATGACTTAAAGCAGGAAAAGAAAAGGCTCCACCAAAAATTAGTAACTAAGAGAAGGCGAGAGCTTCTGCAGAAGGTATGTGAGGCATTGTGCTCTTTATCTCTGCAGAAGCCTTCCCACTGGGTAACAGGCATTGCCATCAGCACAGGATGTTCAGAGCTCGTGGCAAGAACCACCATCTGGAGTCGATTAGTAGTGACTTCTCAGAATGCTGTGTAAAGGAGGATTCTGTGTCGCAGTACAGTGGAGTCTGTCATGGACTAGTAATGTCTGCAGTGGAAGGGAATCAGAGGATGATGATAGGTGCTGACTTTTATGTTTAATTCATACTGTGTGTTAGAAAGGAAAGTATCTTTAATCCCTGTGAGGTGCAAAAGTGACAGTCTCTCTTTCCCTGGGGAAGGCTTTCTAGAGCATGTATGTTATAGATAGGACCTAAGGATTGAAAGGATCAGTGTTGGCTCAGGAACCCCAAGATCAAATTCTCAGCACAAAGGAGATTTATTTGCTCCAGAGGGACAAAGGCCATGGAAGAGACAAAGACAGGATATAGAGGATGAAAGAGTAGGGGGATGGGAACAAGAGAGAGGGCAAAGGGTTATTTGTCTTGAAATTAGGGCAAAAGACAGTCCCTAGATAGAGAGGAGACAGATGTGGCCCGTTGGAAAATGGTGGTTTATAAAAGTAAAAGGGAAAACCTGTGTTAGGATGAGGTGTTTAATTGTAATTGGACATGTTCATTACCTGAGTCAAAAGGGTTTTTGATTGCTGGACTTCAATATTTTGATAGCTGGACCTTCGTAGTCAGCCACAGGATGAGGAAGTAGACAAATAAGGGAATAGCCCTTAGGGACTACCTTTAGGAATGTAATCTAATGTTTTTTAGCAAAGCAGAGGGGATAGGGGAGAAGGGTGAGCCACGTTTGCCATGCTCAGGCTGGCGAGAATCCCACCAAGGACAAATAGACATTTGAGGCAGGCAAGAGGGTGACTGCAAAGTTGCAGGCAGCGAGGCAGCTTTGTGTTCCAAGCTTATGTGCTAAGACCAGAATGCACTACTGCATTTGGCAAGCCCATAGAGCAGAATGGGACTGCAGTGTGCAGAGGGACAAGGCCAGGCCTGGAGGGGAGCTGGCCAGAAGCAGGGCCAAGTCAAGGAGGCATGGTAGGCTGACCTTCTACATTCAGACCGAGGAGAAGGTTAAAAAGCTTTTACAGAAAGAGACAGTGACCCTGCATTTGTGATTTAGGAAGCTTTTTGGGAGAGATAGAACCAAAGAAGGTTCTAGTAGGTGGCCAGATGAAAACTTGCAACCACCCGAGTTAGCATAGCACCTGAGGCTTTAAAAGAGGTCAGGGCAGATTTGGAAGGCTCATGGGGCCTCAGGGGAACCTAGGGTGAGATGAGGTGGCATGTCAGCTCAGCTGGGTGGAGAGGAGAGAAGAGAGAACCAGGGGGCTTTCAGCTGCATCACTAGAAACTTTTTTTTTTAATTCTTTGATAATCTCATACTCAAATACTAGGCATTTTGATCTCCTCCTCTCTCACGTTCCCTTCTAATCCCTCCCAGGTCTCAGAAGTAGTAATAGCTCTGTGAAGGCTATATGTGTGTCCCTAGTGCCAAGGACATGGCCTGACCCATTAAGTCAATAATAATTGACTCAAAAATGTTGGACTGAATGAATGGTTGCACTGATCAGACCATGAACATAGGGAAGAGCAGGACCTCTTGCTCTTAAATAGAAAGGAGACTGTGGACCCACTGTGATGCTATGATGCCATCTTCATGCAGGGCAAGTCTTTCCTACTCCGGAGCCTTAGCACCTGATGGTTTTCACCCAGGACATGCTTAGGCTCTTCCTTAAGAGGCTCCACTGATTTCCTCATGAAGTTTTCTCTCGCAGGTACCAGCATCGACTCCTCTTACTCACATATCATGTTTTTTAGTGACAACATGCCCAGACACACAGTAAAATCAACAACAAGCATGCATTACTGCACTTCTGAAGGCCTGAGCATGTACTGAGCAACTCCTGAGGGTCCCCACTGTAGTGTAGTTGCTGTTACTGCTTCCATTTGACAGATCAAGAAGTAGAGGCAGAGGGAGAGCCAGACTTTGGGTGGAAGGGTCAGAATAGAACCCCAGTATGCTACCTCTTGGGCTTTACCTGGACAACATTTAGCTGCTTGTCAAACATGAATTTTTAACCGTGTGTGTGTGTGTGTGTGTGTGTGTGTGTGTGTGTGTGTGTAGGAGCGGGGTTGCTGAGGTCTGAACAAAGGGTCTCAACACAGGCTAAGTAAACACTGTCACCGAGCAGCCCCAGCCTTCTTTTAACTTTTACTCTTCACTTGGATATAGGATTCACTTTGTTGCCCAGGCTGGCCTTGAACTTATTATCCTCCTCCTGCCTCAGTTTCCCAAGCAGCTAGGGTGACAAGCCCATGCCACCAGAGTCTGGGGTTTGGTTGTATGTAGGGCAATTTTCTAAATGTGAGATTGTTGGGCACAAGGCTGTACATACCTTCTGTGCCGCCTTAAGTTTCAAAAGAAAGTACTGTACCTCTTCACCCTTGATTGCCTGTGCTCCTGCCCCCACGGGCCCTGCCCATCCAGTTGCCCTTTTTCACATTCCTGCCAGCACAAGGAGCAGCAGAAAGAGCAGGTGTCCCTTGGTGAGGCCTCCAGCATTGCGGAGGATGCAATCCAGTACCTGCGCCAGTGGAAAAGTGTGATGGCCGAGCACACAGCTGCCCTGGAGGAGTTGCAGGAGCGTCTGGACCAGGCTGCCCTGGATGACCTCCGGGCCCTGACCGTGTCACTGTCTGAGAAAGCCACAGAGGAGCTGAGGCGCCTGCAGAGCACAACCATGACACAGGAGCTGCTGAAACGCAGTGCTCCCTGGCTCTTCCTGCAGCAGATCTTGGAGGAGCACAGCCGGGAGTCTGCCACCCGCACTGCACAGCTCGAGGCAGAGGAGAGAGAGCATGGCCAGGAGCTGGTGCAGGGCGTGAGGCAGAGGCTACAGCAGGACGCACCAGAGGCCTGCACGGACGAGCAGGCAGAGCTGAGGCATTGGGAGCACTCAGTGTTCACGTGAGTGACGATGAGTGGGTGCTCTCCTTCTCCACCACACTGGGAAGGGAGTGGTTGGTGGAGGAGGGGGAGGCAGGATGGCTGAGCTTGCAGTACCATCCCCAGACAAACAAGACCTGCACACAGTGGGCCTATAAGTCACACAGGATTACACATAACCTGCAGCTTCATCATGGATGATGCACTCTAGGCCAGAAGGGTGGGCAGCCTAGCTTCTGTGGGAGCCACAGACTTCTCTGTATCATCCAGTGGGTTGCCGGTGAATGATGTGCTCCTGGTCCCTCCATAGGCACTGTTGAATGAACTGGGTGGCAGTCAGGCCTAGAATTCCAGCACGTGGGAAGTACAGGCAGGGAGATCAGCCCATTTGTGGCCGGCATGGACCATGTGATGCTGTGACTCAAAATAAAATGTGTGTGTGTGTGTGTGGTGTGTGTGTGGTGTGCATGTGTGGTATATATACCTGTGTGCGGTGTGTGTGGGAGTGTGTGTACACACACGAGCATGCACATATGTGGATGTGTGTGTTGTGGTATATGTGTTTATGTGATGTTTGCATGTGTACATATGTGTATGTATGTGCTTATTAATGTTTGCATGTGTGTAAGCATGTGGACGCTCCCACGTTACATCTGAAGAGGCGGGGTGTCTTTCATCACTCTCCACCTTATTTCCTTATGTAAAGGTCTCTCACTGAACTAGAAGCTTCCCTATTTCTGCTAGGCTAGGCTAGCTGGCAGCAACCTCTCAGGAGTTGCCTGAGATTGCCCCTCAGCCCTGGGGTTCCAGGTACACACAGCCATGACTGGTTTTTTACATCGATTCTGGGGATTTAAACTCAGGTCCTCATGACTGCACAGCAAATGCTCTTACCCACTGAGCCAAATCCCTAGTTGCTGGTGTTATTATTGCCTTGTTTGCATTATGCATTCTCCTGGTTGAATCCTTCCCCTTTGCGAGTGTGGCTTTCTTTGTTTTCCAGTCTCTGGTTAGTTCTTGCTTTCTTGCCCAGAGACACAAGGCACTGTCCCCTCTGCACAATAAGAACCACATCCTCAAATGCCCCTTCTTATGACTGCTGTTGGTCTTTAGTCAACTCAGGCCGGCCTTCCCTCAGTCCCATTGGCTGCAGGATTCTTTGATGTGTGTGAATTCCCATTACTCATTGATTGTTTCCTTCTATGTCATTTGAACCTGTATTTCAGGGAGTGTTTCCGAACCCAGCACAGAGTTAGCCATTTATGGACTAATGAGACATCTCGCTTGGCCATCAGCAAACTCTTATGACTTCTCTGGGGGTTAAGGAGGGTCAACCCACAGGCTCATGCTGCCAGCTGCTTCCATGCTCTGCTGATTTGAGACCCTGAGGGTTATGACCTGAATTTCTGAGGCATTAAGTAAAAATGGCTCTTCACTGTGGTTCGGAAACACACTTTTGTAAGCCAGATGGGCTGCTGCAAATGCACTGAGCAAAGGGGAAAACTGATCATAGAAAAATAATATTGCTTTGAGCCTAGCCCACAGATCTCAAAGCAGGTTTCTACCCCAATGCTGAGGGCAGGATCCTGCCTCACACATACGTGCTTTCTGCTGGCTACAGGGACAGTCTGTTAGAAAGCTGATGAGAGTGATGACTCTGTTCATGACAGAGTCCCTGAAGCTCAGGAGTTCTTGTTACCAGATGGCAACAGGCAGAGGCTGCCCTGAGAGAGGGATCAGGAAGAGGCATTCAGAATCTGGGGGATGTTACATGATGTCAGCTGAAAATCCTGGGCATTCCTGAAAGTCAGACTATTTTCATCAGAGAACTTTCTAGAACTTTTCAGTTCTACATTCTACACTCAGATCTGAACATATGGAGCCCACCCTTGGCTTCCTACGGCAAGTATTCTGCAAATACTTCCCAGTTTCAAAGCATTCACAGAGAAGGTTTCCTGTAGTTGATAGAATGCTGCCAGGAAAATCAAAGAAGCCTTGTTTGTCTGAACATAAAAATGCTTGAAGACTATGAATAAAGGCACATTGGCCAAAGTGGGAGCAAGGAGGGACCTTTCCCAGCACTACCCGTTCTCTGAGGTTCAAGGCTGGGGTAGGGATTCTCAGTGAGGTAGTCAGTATCTGATCCTATGGCTGCCACACCCCAGCATCATAACCTTGGCTTAAAGCCACAGGCAGGTTTTCTTCCATGGTCCAAATGAGGGCACGGACAGAGCCATGCCCCCTCCAGAGACTCAAGGGATCCCCTGTTCCTTGTTCTTCCTAACTTTTGGTCATTGTTGCCAGTTTTTGGCCTTTGTTGACTTGGATATATCACTTCTTTACCATGCCTTGAGTTCCCTGGCTGGAACTGACCCTGTGCCCGTGTCTCCTATGCTGATAAGGACACCACACTTATTCTGAGCTGACCCTTCTCTAGCACCATTTAACCTTAATGCCTCTTATTTGTAGTGACTCCATTTCTAAATAGGCCTTATCCCTAGTATGGTATGGGGTTGACCTTGAGCAGATAACCTGGGGGACCCAGTTCAGTCCCCAGCACACAGCTACCCAGTACGGACTAGGTTATCAAATGAATCACTGGTCTCCATTCTTTATGCAGGAATCAGTGCTGAACCTATGCCCAGAGGAATTGAACATCCCTCCTCTGCACTATGACATGCTGCTGACTTGGCTGGGTGGACTGTGCCTGGTTTGTCTGATATAGTGTTGTATACTGCACCATATACACTAGGCACCCAGGAAATGCATGCAAAGCCACAGATAAGCACCTAAAGCTCTTTGCTGCAGTCAGGGATTTGGCTCAGAGATGCTTTACCTACAGCCTCCCTCCCCACCCCTTGCCATGTTGCCTCTGACCTAGTCCGCGGTCACTGTCCCCTCCCAGGAAGCTCTGCTGTGCAGCCACCTCACTGTCTGAAGAAGACCTGCTCAGGGTGAGGCAGGAAGCCCAGAGCTGCTTCACCCAGCTGGACCGGAGCTTGGCCCTCCCCAGAGTCCGGGCGCGAGTGCTGCAGCAGCAGTTGCAGATGGCCTGGAGGGAAGCAGAGTTCCGGAAACTGGACCAGGCCGTGGCTGCGCCTGAACTGCAGGTAGGGGCCATGTCTAGACTGCCCATTGTGGAGATAACTGTGGACCCACAGGATCCTGTGCCTCCATCAGCTCAAAGCTAATTGTCTCCTTCCCCCATCCATTACTATCTAGCCATGGTGGCCTCTGAACACTCCTAGAACTCCTCAGGTTACCCTAATCTTAAGGTCTGCAGTAGGCTGTTATGGTGCCAAGGCCAGCAAGAACAGTGACCAGCAGCAGCCATGAGTATCTGCCTCCCCCAGCTCATAGCCACATCCTATTGCTTCTTCTGAGCATTGTGTGCGGTGTCTGGCAGTCACCTAGTTACCCTGCCTTTAGCTTATACCACATTCTGATTCAAGGGTCCAAAAGACCCTTTTGTATGTGACACAGAAATGAGATTGGCTCAGCTTGGCTGACCCATGAAAATGGGACTGTCTTACACTGGTCCTAAAGGCTGAGGTGACACCTCTTATGTGCATTCATCCTCCAGAGCCCCAAAGACCAGCACAGGATAGACCTGACCCAAGGCGCTCTGCTTGGCTTGTCCACATGCTGCCCGGTGTCCTTATTTTGCCTGGGCTATTCCTTAGATCTCTCAGGGCCTTTGCATTTCCCATCCTCGGCTCAGCTTCTAGGGAAGCCAACACAAGATGAAGCCCTTGAACTCACTGCTTCTTCTGCCTGTAACATGCTTTGTTGTCTAGGCAAGCATCAGCTCACTGTGGCCTCTGCAGAGGAGCCTCCCTGAACACCTATCCAAACCCAATTGTCATGCAGCTGTTGTCACAAAACTGAGTGTCTCTCCACCACGATGGCCTGGTGTGGAAATTTGCACCTTTAGCCATGCACATGCATCCCTTTGCCTTGGAAAGAAGCCAGTGTCTCCTCTGACCTGTCTCTTCCCACAGCCCAAGGCTAAAAAGCTACGTTCCAAGGGCAGAGGCAAGGCGGACCTTCTGAAGAAGAGCCTGGAGGATAAGATCCGCCTCTTCGAAGAACGGGCCCCTGAAGACCTGGCTGACAAGGTAGGGCTAAGCTCTGGCTGCCTGCAGCATGCAGAGCTTAGAGAACAGAGACCACCCATTGCCACCCAATTAGCAGGCCATGAAGTGCCCAGTGTTCCAGATGAGGACCATTCCTGATTTGAGCTCTGTCCTAAGGCATTCATGTATGCAATCTTCTGTACATCTCTTGGGGTGTGTACACATGTGTGGAGGGCTTGAAGTTAAGCTAATATGTCATTCCTCAGGAACCGTCCACCTTGCTCTTGGAGACAGAGTGTCTCACTGGGACCTGCGGTTCAGAGGTTAGGTTGGAGAGTAAACCCCAGGGATACTCATTCCTCCTTCCTAGTGCTGAGATTCTAAGTATGAACCACCACACACAGTATTTCTCATGGGTTCTTCAGGCTGAACTCAGGACCTCATGCTTTCCTCTTGCTTACAACTGAGCTGTCCTCCCCACCCCCACCCTATGTGTCTGCACAGTCTCTCCTTACTTGTCACTTCTTGTTTGTCCTGGGGACTCTATCACAGTCCACACGGCTCCCTTCATGCTCTAACCTGTACTCTTTACCAGGATACTTATCTCTGTCCCCTGCTCTCCTCAGGTGTTGTCTCCATCTTCAGATATGGAGGCTTCTCCTCACAAGAGGCTTCTCTTCCAAGAAGCCCCCATAAGCACCCTACTGCTTCCCACTCACTGCTCCTCCACCCCTTTTCTTATCTTAACACCCAGAAAACTGTCCATCCCATTCTCCAATATTCTGAGCAGGCACCCCTGGCCAGGCACCATGTGCGTGAGCAGTGACAGAGGATGTCCTATCCCTGCACCTTCAGGCGCACCTGCTGGAGTGATGGATGGAGGTGCATACTTAGCTAAGGACACAGGCTGTGGTTGGTGCCACTGATGGAGCAGAAGAAACATGCCGCTGTGGTCCCAGAAGGGGGATTCTGCCCACAGTGGGATATTCAGCAGATGGGACATGAGCTTCCTGGGACATGCTAAAGAGATCGCTGTGTCATAGCTGCTGAGGTGCTCATGTGCCCCTGTACTCCACAGAGGGAGTGTGTTCAGCGACAGTGTGGCCACATGTCAGAGCTGCCAGTTTTTCACGCTCTATGCCCAGGTTTGGCGGCTTTTAAAATTAAAAAGTCTTGTCATTATCTTTTGATTTATTGAAACAAGATCTCACTTTGTTGCCCAGGCTGGGCCTTGAGCTCATCATGAGCCTGCTGTCTCGGCTTCCCAAGGACTAGGATTATAGGTGTGTGCCGTCATGCCTGGTGCAGTTCTGTGGTTTTAGCACAGGTGTGTCAGGACACATGTGTGTGGTCCGGAGCTGCGCTCTAGAATCTGCTCTGGGCCTGGTCACCTGCTCCCATTAGGTACAGTTATGGGGTAGTATCTCCAGGGACCTGAGTCTTGTGCCTTTCTCATGTAGACTATAGTTGAAGAATGAGCTAAAGACAGGGCAGAGAGGGATAAACTGCTACCTTCTTAGTGTTAAGGCAAATTTGAAAGACATGGAGCACCATGAGGGAGAGATGGATCAGTCCTACAGTCTAGCGACCAAACTGACCCCACCACCCAAACATGATGGCACCAAGACTCCCTGGGAGAACAGAGCCAAAGTCAGGCTTCTGAAAAGCAGGCAGAGGAGAGTCACCATGAAGAGAGGAGGACCTTAGAGAGACAAGAGCTGCTGTCCCTAGTGGAATCTGCATCGTATTGAGGCTGGAGGGAGTGTTTGGTTTGTAGTCCAGTGGCTAGAGAATGGAGGTTTGGTTTATGGGAGAAGATGGGTAGCCCAGCCCTGAGTAAAGGCTACTACTGCACTGGAGCAGAGGCAGCCCAGGGAATGTGGGACCCCCTCAGAAAGGATGCTCTGTGGGTGTGCTGCGCCATCATGAGGTGGAGGGGTGCGCAGAGACAGGTGCTTGGTGGAGCTTGTCAGATAGCTGGGAACCCCGAGAGCCAGCTTGCTGGTACTGTTGAAGTGGGGCAGCCCACGGAGGGACTTTTCTGATCCCCGGGTGACCAGGTACCAACAGTGAGTTGGCAGAGAGCAGCTGAAAGGCAGATCAGTTTCTACCTACAGCTTGACCTCCTCCCCCAACCCTGCCCCAGCTCCTTTCAGTGGTTGCCTGCTGAGGAGCATACAGACATGAACATGGCTGCTGTGTCAGTGAAGGAGGGATCTGTGCTGAGTAAGCCAGGCCTCACAGAGAAAGATGTTGAGAGGGCCTGCCACTGCGACCTTTATTTATTATTTATTTGTGTGCATGAGGATGCAGAGGCAGATGTCTGCATGTGTGTCAGAGCCAGAGGACAACCTCAGGAGTCATTTCTCAGGCACTGTCCACCTTGTGTTGTGAGAAAGGGTCTCTTTTGTTCTTGGCCTGTAGCTCTCCAAGGAAACTAAGCTGGTTGTCCAGTGAGCCCAAGGGACACGCCTGTCTCCATCTCCCCAGCACCTGCATTTCAAATGCATACCTCCAAACCTGAGTTTTAAAATAAGTTTTTAATGTGGGTTCTGGGCCTCTAACCTAGGTCCTCACACCTGCAAGGCAACCGCTTTTCCAACTCCCTGCTCTATCTGTGACCGTATATAATAGGTCAACCCCACAAAGGGCTGTTTCACTCTGGCAGGTGCCCACAGCGTAGGCAGTCTTGAGTCGGCAGCTTACTGCTCCTCCAAAATAGAGATAAATTTCCTCTCTCTGTGCTTGTGTGGTTCGTGTTTCTTCAGGGTCATTGCGAGAGTGATGCAGACCCCCTCAGACATGAGTACTACACTGAGTTTACTCTCTCCACTGTAGTGTTCAGGGGTTCTCCCAAGAACCAGAGCCAATGTGATACACATACAAAGGCACATAGACCAGAGAATATCTGCTCTGGAAATAATGGATGGCAAGAAGATCCATGTTCAGTCATTGGCAGGTCAGGGAACCCCGAGATCTGGAGGAGTAACATGTAGTCCAAAGGCCAGGGGTGGGGCTGCGTTGGTTCTCAGGGTCTGAAGCTTGATGTACAGCAGAACTAATGCAGGGGCAGGAGAAGGGGAGTGGTCCAGCTTGAGAGTACAGTGAGTTCACCCTTCCTCTCCCTTCGGCCCAAGAGGGAAAACCTTGGTGGGTTGCTGATGTCCACCCAGGCAGGCGAGGGGATAGTCTATCCCATCCCGATGATGTCAGCACTCATCTCTTCCCCAAACACCCAGGACCCTGGTTACCACTCAGCTCAGCAAGTGAATGCAACAAGGGTTGCATTTCAGGTCTGAGGAGTCCTCCCTCTCCTCAGGGCTTCCTCGGGAAGCCCTGTGTTGGGAAAGCAGAGAACGTGCACAGCTCAGGTTGGTGTGTAGCATTTTCTGTCTTTCACTGATGAGAAATGGGTGTCTGTCTACATCATCTCTCTTATGCATGTGTTCTTGTCGCTGTATGTTGTAGGTACGCGTTCGTGTGTGTGTGTGTGTGTGTGTGTGTGTGTGTGTGTGTGTGCATGCAGATCAGCTTGCTCCTGTGTGCACATGTCTTTTTATGAGGTAGAGGACAGGATGATGTCCTGTGCCTTCCTCAATTGCTCTCCTTTTTTTTTTTTTTTAATAATCTTTCTTTCTAAACCTGGAGTTTAACAGCTGGCAAGGTTAGTCTCAGGAATTCTCCTGCCTCTGCCCCCTCCCCTCCATAACCCTAGGGTTATAGACACACACTGTCCTGCCCAGCTTTTATGTGGGTACTGGGGATATGGATTCAGGTCTCCTGCTTATACAGCAAGCACCTTAGCAACTCAGCCATCCCCCAGCCCTATATCTTCCCATTATCCGCCTATTACCTGGTAATCTGTCAAGCATCTTTTGCTCCATTTCCCCTCTAACACTTAAAATTTGAAGGGTTTCCATGTCAAAACATAGAAGCCATCCTTACCTTTCATCCCAGTATGCTGTCTCACCACACGTGGGAGTGTTAAACCCATTTAACCTTCTCATTGAACGGGCGTATAGGTTCTTAATTCCTTGATGTTTCAAGCATCCTGGAGTCTCTGCATGAACTGTTCACCTATTACGGTAAGGGACAGAGAGCAGCCACCACTGTGCATATCCCAGGTGAGAAGATGGGGGACTGGATGATCTTACAGCTCCTGTTACAGAGCTGTGAGCGACAGAGCAGAGCAGGAAGCTTTTGCACTTTGCATCTTTTCCCATTAGTGGTTCCGTTTGATGGACACCTCAGCTCACCCTTGGCATGCTCCTTCTGGCGGTTTTGATCAGCAGACATGAGAATACTCATAAGTATTTCTCAGGAGCGTGTAAGGCTAAATGAAAATGACATGACCATGGTTCCATTCACCCATTGTTTCTCAGTTTGTTTTAACGACACACACTTCCACATCACACACCCATTCATTATTCATTCACCGTTTCCAGGTTTTGTGATGTGCCGTGCATGCACACTTCCTCGGGAATATCACACCTGAGTTGTGACTTCATTCCTGCTCATCAACAGCCTGCCCCACGGTGCTTCTGCAGCCGCCTGGCCGTTATGCAGAGGTGGCTGGTATTTGTCAGGGCACCTCTTCCAGGTCCTCTTGGCTTCACAGCTCATCTTCAGGTGGCCTGACAAGAGAGGGAGCAGGTGGCATGGGTTCTCACAAAAGTCTGTCTTAGGGAGGGGTGGGGTGCTCACACAGCCACAAGGGCCAAGGAGACTCCATCCTGTTCTTCTAATGTCTGTTCTCATGCCTTGCTCAGACCTTGAGGCAACCGGTGTGCCTGCATTTCCCTGAAGCACTGAGGGAGAAGGGGAGCTTCCTACAACCCCAAACAAACCCAGACTTTATCGTTTATGTTCATGGGGGTTAGGGGTGCAATACCGTCTTTGCTTGTGTATGGCAAGTGCTATACCACTGACCTACTCCCAGCCCTCAGCTAATGTTTCTCTGATTATTTTACCTCTGCCACAAATCATATCACTCATGTGTGTGTGTGTGTGTGTGTGTGTGTGTGTGTGTGTGTGTGTGTGCA